CCCCCCCCCCCCCCCCCCCCCCCCCCCCCCGGAGATGACATGTGGCTTTCTAACATAACTAGTATTCTGCCCCCAAAAAAACTATGTTATGCCATTCCTTAGTGGTGCACCCAGTCCTACGAAAAATCCTGGATCCACCCCTGGAGTTACCCTACCTCTTGGTAAACATGGCCTCAGTCAATGGTGTTAACTCTGGGGTTCTTGAAACTGACTTGTTAGGAACCCTGTGATGTCATTGGTTGTTAAACTCAAAGATGACATGAAAATGTGTCTATGAATAAGCACTTAATGACTGGCCCCAAGGGAAACAGTGAGTTTTGTTTCCCTGACTCCCCCAATGAACGCTGAGGTTGAGGAGAAACAAAACTCACTGGTTAAACCTTCCAACTCAAAAATAGAACAAAAACTGTGAAAAAATAACTTGCCTGACGCCAGCTGGCACAACAAATTTTTGCCACGGTTTCAAGGTGCATGACCTGATCATGTGTTGTTTCCCTGGGGGTTAGTGAGTATTGTTCACCGTAGGGAGACGCTTGGTGAGTTTTGACCCACGGCTTGTGACAGGCTCTCCTCCAGTTGGAAGATAAAACAATAGTGCTTTGGTCAGCTGTTGACAGAATAGGGCATGATTTATAGTGACCTGAGGTTCTGACCTGGTCACACCTGAATGTAACCACCAATAAGTCAGAGATGCTTGTTGTCTTGCTTACACCTGCTTAGGGATTTAAATCATGGGTTTTGGTCTCTTTTAGCGTGTTCAGGACAAAATGCCATAATTATTTTTCGCTATCAAGGTATCTTTTAGGGTTGCACTCAAAGAAAAAATATAAAAAGCGGTCATGTCCATTTTAATAAAAGTAGTATCCTATTAGGGGTCAAAAAAAGCTTGAGTCACCCCCAGGTTGGTCTTCGACACAAGGCTTATAGCATAAGCATTAGAAGCTTATGTGCTTGTGGGGAGGGCTGTGACACAAACATAAGCATTTTTCTTATGGTTATGCTTATGTCGATTTTATGTTCAGTGTGGACGTGGTTGGCATAAGCATAAAGTGCTCGCTGATTCAATGGCTTAGAGTCTTTCACTTAATATGCTTATGCTTATGCCAACATGTCCCCACTGGATAGCGACATAAGCACAAGTAGAAGAAGAATGCAAGCTAGGTTTTGATATTCTTATGCTTATGCTTATGTCCAGCCATCCCCTCTAGCGCATAAGCTTCTCATGCTTATGCTTATGCTTATGCTTGCGTAGCTAGTGAGGACCAGGCTTTAGGGGTTTAATTCAAATTTTCCAAAGTTTTCACACAAGAGTCTGCCAGCTGTGGGATGGCTATAAATGAGGATCAGGTAAAAGAAGTTGTCAACATTGTTGATCTGCTCCATAAGTGACCTGACTCTTGTAATCTTGTAGGTATTTAAGGGTAAAGATCATGGGTGAATCCGGGATTTTTCTTAGGAGGGGTGTACCACTAAGGAATAGCATAACTGACTGGTGAGGTAGATAATACAAAGAAGACTTCATCTCAGGAGGGGGGGGGGGTGCACACCCCCTGCACGCTTCCCCTAGATCCATCCCTGAAGATGTGTGTAATGTCATTTTACATGTGAATCCTCTGATGGCATGTTTATCTTTTATCTTAACAGAAACGTGATTTTGTTGAGCTAGCTCAAGTGCACCCATTGAAGGTCTGGTTTGGTCGCAATGTAAATCCAGATGTTTATCGGATCATTATTGGATATCTTGAAGTTGTCTGTGCTCTCCTGCTGTATGCAGCACCAATGAGGCCTTTGAAATTCGCCAGCACAGCAATTCTGCTGATTATTATGGTTGTGATTATGCAGAGTCTCTATTGGCTTGGAAAACCAGCCATCCTGTTTGCACCGGCAACAGTGAGTTCAATCCTCCTCGTGTTAAATTCGGTAATGCTGTTGGGAGAGACACCACCAAAGGAGAAGAAGAGAGCGTGATAAATGTTGTCGTTTGACAAAGGTTTCATTAAGGGCCAAGCACTGGGTAAATTGACTGGTTGTGAGGATGATTTTGCCCTCTTGGTTTGACCATCTACATGTAGATGAAACTCTTCTTATAAAGAAGTTCAGTTGCTGAAGACGTTAGTGTGACCCATGCTTTGTGTAAAATGTTCACTATAATTGCTATCTAACGGCACTCCATAAATTCGGACAATTGTTTCACATCATTCAATGCATTTTTTTCTTTCCTTTCATTTTTCATTGACCAAGAATCCACTATGTGACCTGCAAAGAAATGCCTGCAAATAATGGTCTGCTTGTGCGTAGTACCATCTAAATTAGTTTCACTGCAAATAATATCTTCAAGCAGGTATAGACCGTGAACAGTCTTTTG